CAGTAAGACAATCACGAGAGGAGGGAAAAGAAGAGGGAACCAGGAGGGGGAGCCGGAGCAGGAGGAGGGATAACATTCTCGGCCCACACGCGGGGTTCAAAGGAGCCATGCTGGCCAATGTAGAAATGCGAACGAAACACGGACACCTGCGTCCATGTATCTCCCCTGGTCTCGGTGGCCAGCGATACGAACCACAGACGGCGCAAAGCAACAAAGCGGAGGAGGGGGGGGGGGCTAATGCAGATTCCAAGCACAACGCATGCGCATCTGCAAGTGCAAATTGCTCGACGCGGGGGCTCCCAGATGCATCGCGTATCCCACCGTGAGAGATGATGATGATGATGATGATGATGATGATGATGATGATGATGATGATGATGATGATGATGATGATGATGATGTTGATGATGATGATGATGATGATGACGATGATGATGAGGAGGAGGAGGATGATGATGATGGCGATGGTGATGGCGATGGTGATGATGATGATGATGATGATGATGATGATGAGTACCATAATGATGAACATGATTATGATTATGATTATGATTATGATGATGCTGACGATGCTGCTGATGCTGATGATGATGATGATGATGATGATGATGATGATGATGATGATGATGATGATGATCAGCATCATCATCATGATGATGATCATCATCATCCTCAACAGCGTAAGAAAATCCCGAGCCTGCCACATCGCGGTGACCATGCGGCCCTGAATTGCAGAGGGGTCAGAGGTGCAGAACAGGCGCCTCCCTCGGGACATCCCACGCAGCCCGGCCGCGAGCGGCCGGTGTCCTGCCCCCTAGCAGCTCGCCCCGGGGGTGCTGAAACAAGAGCCTCGCTCGAGACGTCCTCACAGTCTGGTTTCAAAGCTGGGAGGAGGCGCCGATGCCAAGCGAGCGCCTCGCTGGACACACCCCCACAGCCCATCTTCGCACGGGAGATGGTCCCACCCCCTGGCGCCCCCCCCGCCTCTTGGGGCGCTAAAGCTACCCCCCACGAAGCACCCCACCAGCAACAAAGGTGAAGAGGCGAGTCAAGGAGCATGAGGTCGGCTAGAAGAGACAGGGGTGGGAGCACGGACGTGTGCACCTGCGCTTTTACATAGGGGCGTGGCCGTCTGGACCACACCTGCAGCTGGCATTGGGGCGAGAGCACACGCTTCCCAACGAAGGAATCTCGGTCGAAACGGCTGCCGGAACGCGAGGGGCAGGGGCGAGAGTCACAAAAAAACGTGGCTGCCCGGACCTCAACTGTAGCCGGCACTGAGGCGAGAGCAGGGTTCCTCAAAGCGTTGTTGATGAATGGTGAGGACGTCTCGAGCGACAAGGCTGTGGGTCTTCTGTGTGGGCCCGCTTTGCACGTCCAGTGGAACCCTCTATCGTGGAACGCTATTGCGGAACAAGCGCGTCGCTCGACACATCTGTACACTCTACTCTGCCTGCTCTGGAAACATAAAAGTAACCGACGCCGAACGCGCACTTCGCCCGAGGCATCCACACTGTCTGGCCGCGAACGGGCCAGTGTTAAAAACCCCATGGTGGCCCCTCCTTGGGGTGCCCAAGTGCTACGCCTGCCATGTCGCAGTGGTCAAGGAGCTCCCCAAAGATTCTGAGCAACCGAAAGTGCTAACCGCCGGAGACAACCTCAGGATCTGGGCTCGAATGGAAAAATCTCATACCCCCTGGCGGCCCCTCTTTGGAGTGCCCAAATGTTACGCTTGCAATGTCTCAGTGGCCAGAGAGCTTTCAAAAAGAGAGGCGTCTGAAAAACCAAGCGCGCAAACCGCCTGAGACATCCCCACAATCGGGGCACGGGCGGGCCAGCGTCATGCCATTTGGCGGGCCCTCCTTGGGACGCCAGGCGCCTGGACAACCCAACACGCAAACCGCCTGAGACATTCCCACAATCTGGCCGCGAATGGGCCTGTGCAATACACCCTTGCTTAAAGCTCCGAACTTATTCTTAAACAGTAGCCCAGGTCCATATCTACGTAAGTTGTACCAGAGAGAAGCTCTTAGAAAACGCCCATGGTCCAGTCCAAAGTTTTGACTTCCTAAAACAAGTCTGGGACACGTGAAAGTTCCCCAAACAGTGTTTGCACTTAGGGGCTCCGACTTCTCCTCTGAGGAGCTAGGCTGGTGTGGCGGTCTGGCGGCTATGCTGCCGCCGTCGCCGCCCCGTCTCCGCCCCGTCGCCGCCCGTCGTCTGGGCCGGTTTGGCGGTTTGGCGGCTACGTTGTCGCCGTAGCCGTTCCGTAGAAGTTGCGCCGCCGCATTTGATTGCACAACGTATATCCCTTCCCTAAGAAATTCTTAGGACCGACACCCCCCCGGACTGATCGGCCCCCCCTGAGCAGGGCAATTTCCATACGATTCTCCCCCCTCGTCCATCCTGTTTTTGAGCTCCTACAATCTCAGGCACGCCAGCATGCCCCTCCCCTTCATTCTTTGCGAAAAAACTACGCGCGCGCACTCGTTGATCACAAACCATCAGTTGTCAAAAATCTCTTTTGGGAAAAAAACAGACGAAGTGCACACGCGCGCGTCGTCGTGCGCGCATACCGAAATATCGCTCAAACCGTAGATCGTACAGGTTCCAACACCGAGTGTCACGAAAACATGTAAGACACATGGTTTCGCAACATGCGAGTTCAGAAGAAGCCTGCGCGCGCTCTTGCGAATTCTTGACCAAACACCGTTTGTTTAACATGTTCATAACATGCTACCGAAAGGGCCTCTCGTACGCACATGTCTAAGTCGTTTGGGCGCCTTTCGCGCGCGTGCTGTCGCAAGAACCCTTCGCAACGAAGAAACAAAGTGCACACGCGCGAGTCGTCGCGCGCACATTCTCCGAAATCCTTGAAACAGAAGAGGAACCCCAGGTTTCGTAATGCTTTCACAAAACGGTCGTCCCAGGAAAAAAAAACCTGCGGCTGTGCAACACCAGCGTAAAAAAACCTGCGCGGGCGCCTTTTTTTTTTTTCGAATTTGGGTGTTTAACATTGTCATCAAATTCTGCTAAAAGGGCCTCTTGCGCCGAATGTCAAACTCATCCGAAGGCCTTTGCGCGCGCGGGGGGGGGGCACGAAACGCGTCAAACAATGTAACGCGGGTTACTCGCGTGCGTCGGCCGCGCGCGCATGGCGAACACCTTCCAAAACCTTCATCACCGACGCGAGGACATCGTCATCGTTATCGGAAGGCGTGATCCACATCGGCGCCGGTATTGGCTTTGCCGTCGTCAACGCCACCATCGTCACCATCGTCGCTACTATCATCGTGTATACCGTTGTCGGCGTTGTCATGATACCGCGCCCGCCCAAGTAGCACACTCGCACTGAAGTGCCCGCTTGGAAGTGCCCAGAGGACAGCGCCACCGTGGCCGCGCCGGTCGCGCCAAACTACCTGGCCGCTGCGCGCGCGAGCATGCGCGGGCTAGCGCGGCCGCAAAAATGCACCAACCAACACCAAACACCCATCGCAATCGCCGACGCATGTGTTTTGCAAAAAAAGTTGCGGGTGGGTGGGTGGGGTGATTGCGCGAGCAGTGGAATTGACAACTGCGAGTTCCACAAATGAGTTGCACAACATAAGCTGCACCACTTAGACTGCCCCACATAGACTGCACAGCATAGATTGAAGCGCAAATCGTGCACCACGAGCAATCGATCACAGATCTTGCACCATATTGAATATTCAGCCTATTTTGCGCCACGTACATTGACTTGCACATATTGCACAGCATAGGCTGCACCATTTAGACTGCAACAGCTTACTGTAGCTTGCACAACACGTATTGAGCAGACGCGATTGCACCACATGGGTTGCACAACATATATTGCACAACCTAGTGCACTTCATAGATTGCACCACAAAGATTGCACCACGCACCACATAGATAGCACCACACCGAGCGCACAACACAGAGTGCCAGAAGCACAGTGTCTGGGGCCTGCGCTGGCTCGCATTGCTGTTTTTCGGGTGCTGTCTGATGGGTGCACCCCCTGGCGCCCCCTCCTTCCCTGGAGTGCCCAACTGTCGCGCCTGCCATGCCGCGGTGACGCAGGAACTCTCAGACGAGAGAAGCCTGGGGCACTGAAACTGGCAAGCCGCCCCTCGCCATCGCTCGGACGTCCATTCCCTGTGTTTTTTTCGGTTTCGTGCGTGCTTTTTTCGCCAAATGATCAAGGATGCTCCTCGATGTTCCTCGCCGAGGGAAAAATGCACACGTCCGAGCGATGCCAAGCAAATGTCGCGCCTGCCATGCCGCGGTGACGAAGGAACTCTCAGATGAGAGACGCCTGGGGCACCGAAGCTGGCAAGCCGCCCCTGGGGCGCGAGCGGCCGAGCGCCCCGCCTCCTGGGGCAATTATTCCTCTCGGGGGTGCCCGCCACGAGTAGTCGGGCCCGGCGGGTCTGCGTGCCCATGCGTCTGAGGGTCAGTGCGGCGACGTGTCGGTTCGCGCGAAGCGCCTGAGAGCGAGCGAGTCGGAGTATGAGACGCGACCGGGTCCGAGCGGCGGCGAATGCGACGGTCACTGAGCCTGAGTGCGAGGGCAAGCGGCGTGGGCGAGTCCGAGCGCGACGCGCGGGTCTGCACATGAGCGCATCTGGGTGCGAGCAATCTGCGTGCAAGTTTGTCTGCGTATGCGTGGGTTTGAGTGTTGCGCGGGTCTGGGCACGAGGGTCTACGTCGGGCGTGAGCGCGTCCGAGTGCGAGTGCGTGCAGGTAAGACGAGGCAAGAGGCGGGATGGAGGGAGTAAGCAGGCAGAGGCGTCACGCTCATAACAATAAACCCTATCTCAGGATATGGGGATACACCTCGATGTAGCAGCACAAGAAGCTTCGCATCACCCACTAACCCATGAGGGGGGTGCCATGTCCAGCCCTGGCCCAGGAGACAGAAGCATTAGACGCCGTGGGGTGGTTCAAGGTCTGCCACCGAGTGCCCACAAGGAGGAACAAGAACACTGGCTCAGGGGTGCCTGATCTGGCTGTGCGACGTCTGAAAAGATCACGTCCACCATGCCGACGAGCATGCGGTACCTGCGGGACGTGAGAGGGGTCGGGTACAACCGTACAGGCCGAAACTGTACGCATCATACCTCCATGTTGACCCAGGGGCCCGAAACCGCCTCAGAGCCTGGCCAGAAAAATGTCAGTGGTGCCTTCTCGCCCGTGCTCGAGATATCATCCCGCTCACCCCTGGAGTAAGTCACACGACGGTTGGATACGACTTGATGTTAACAGGAGCAAAATCGAATGTTCGTTCGCTGGGTGATCCGACCGATGGCGGCGAGTTGACCCGAGGCCGTCCAACGCAACGCTGAAAAGCGCAACTGTCACGAACACGACGTACCTACCCGTGCCCGCCCAGGTACTTCACCCCTCCCGCGGGATGCTACATGCAGAAGTGGGACTGACCCAGGTGGAATGTTGGGACTGCCTTGTCGCACGGTGGCGATCGTACACCGAGCTCGAGGCCTGGCGGAATGCTGAGACAGAGGAGCCCCCGAATCCCCCCAGCATGCGATGGGTTCCCCCAAACCGCGCGCAGGGCCACCATCGAGTGAGGCTGGCACACGCCTCGTCATTACATTGCAGTCGGGGCGTTGACCTAAGGAACCCTAAATAAGGAACGGGCCCCCTTTTTTCCATAAGTTCAGCTTCGATTTCCTATCGAAACAATAAGGAAAGCCTGAGGCAAGCTGTGAAACACTTAAGGAACGCGGAGCCCCTCCCCAACGAAAAGGGTTCCTTCTTCAGCGCCCCGAGGCCCCGAACCTTCCCGCAGCCACGCCTGCACGGCCGTCCTCCCACGACAGAGAAGTGCGCCGTGCTCCCCGCCGGGGTGCCTCTGCGGCTGGCGCGCATCCTCCACGATGGGCACCACGTTCGGGCGGCGCTTCGCCATGTTGGTGAGGTCACGACCTGGAAGCAGGAGGAAGAAACTAGGCTGGAAACGGTGAACGACCACTTTACCGCACTTGTTTGGGGTCAGCCGCGAGGCGCCGCCTGGATTTTTCCACACATAGCACAGCAGAGAGGGCAAAACGCGCGCAGCCCCTCACATCAGATTGAACCACATGTTGAGGAGACCATTGATCTCGTTCTTTCTGTCCCCCCCTCTCTCTCGACGTACATATATACAGATACGCTTATATATATATATATAGAGAGAGATATACAACTCCCCCACAGCGAAGGCGCCTGAAGGTTCCCCCGCTTCGTCAGTATCGACTTGAATGCAGAGGACCCGGTGCACAGGAGCCTCTCCTTTGCGTGAAAAAAAAGACCCAGGGAATGCCCTGATAAGCGAAAGCGGCAAGGGGTGCTGTGCTGAATTAAGAATAGATACATACCAAAACCAAGCGCGCGCTGCTTGTTTCATCCTCAGCAGATCTACATATACACCTACTCCTGCGTCCACTCCAGTTTACTCTACTTCCGCACCTCCTCCTCCTCTTCCTTTTCCTCATCATCATCATCATCATCATCATCATCATCATCATCATCAACATCAACATCAACATCGTCGTCGGGATCCTGAGCATGATCACGAGTATGATCATCATCATGATCACCGCCATCATCTGCATAATCAACATCATCATCAGCAACATCAGCATCATCGTCAGCATCGGCAGCATCATCAGCAGCAGCATCAGCATCATCACCACCATCGTAATCGTCATCGTCATCGTCCCCATCATCATAAACAGCATCAGCATCAGCATCAGCATCAGCATCATCGGCATCATCAACCTCATCAGCACCATCACCATCATCATCAGCAGCATCGTCATCAGCGTCATCGGCATCATCACCAGCATCAGTATCATCATCAGGATCAGCATCATCACCATCAGCATCATCATCACCAGCAGCATCAGCATCAGCAACATCATCACCAGCACCATCACCATCACCATCCCGCCTGCTTGCCACAACAGTGCCAAGATGACGTGTTGCTTCACGGGGCCATCGTTCGGGCCGTTTGGGATAGATCTGGGGGGGGGGGCTCCTGGGGCCCACTTGGGAGCCCCGTTTACGGACCTTGCATCGTGTTGCGTCGGGTCCTGGAGCAACCGCCGTGGGGAGGTGATTGAGCTCTGTGGGGGTAGTTTGGATGGGCACTGTGCCACCTTTAGAAACATTGGAGGGACTCTGGGCTGTCTTTGGGAACGTCGTGGGTGGAGCCGTTCTGGACCCTGCGTCGCATTATCGGAGCCTCTTGATGGTGGTGGTGGTGGTCAGTGGGAGGAGGAGGACGGGGCCGAGGAGAGCGAGGAGGAAGGAGGAGGGAGAGAGCGGAGGATGAGGATGAGGGTGAGGTCAATCAAGCCTGTCGCACAGATGGCGCAATGGCAAATGAAAAGGTGCACGCGCTAGATTGCGGGTAGAGGGGAAGAAACGGGAACGAGGAGGAAGGAAGGGTAAAATGGAGAGGAACGAGGACGCCGAACAATTGGAGCCAGTGTTTACGAAAAGCAAGTATATTACCAGCCTGGAACATATCCCTATCCCTATGCTGGGCATCTCCTCATCACGATGCCAATCTTAGGGATTCCCATAGTTTTTTCAGGGCGAATCCCTAAGATTGTCATCGCCTGTTGGTGTGTCAATCTTAGGGATAGGGATAAGTTCGAGGCTGGTGAGTATACAACAGAAGCCCATTGCTGTTCGGGTATCCTTCGCCTCCACGTGGGCCTCCATAACCTAGGCAACCGTGTGCCAGGCCAACGTAACGAATGTAAGGAGAGTCTCTTCAGGGAGAGCCGACATCTTGCAATACCCTTGGCATTTGTCGAATCGCAGAGCACGTCGCTCGGCGGCGGCCCTTTGCTAGACTGTAGGACACAGGCGGAATCGGAAATCGGAACATGCGTCGCAAGCATTGCACGTGGAAGCTGTCTAGGCGGGCTCTGCCCGATTCCAGTGTCCAGATAATTTCCGTAGTGTATAGCAGCTTAGGCAAGACAAGGATGAGGACGAAGGTGAAGGGGACGAATATGAGGAGGAGGAGGAGGAGGAGGAAACCCAGTGTAAAGCCAAGAACCATCAACGATGTTGACCCTCCCTCCAAGCTCCCTCTTCGTAGGCCCCTACAACGGTTCATTTCCATTGATGGAACTGCCCCGTTGGAAAACACCCGTTTAAAGACCCTGCTGAAGCATGCCGGAAACATTGTTCTCTGGATTGTAACGCCACGGATCAACAGGACTGTTGCGTCTTGACGATCCTGAATCGCGCCAGAGCGCCATTCCTAGGACTTCAACACCAAAACAAAGCAACGTAACTGCTGCACCCGCATGCTCCTGAATCCGTCCAAAACCCCATGTCTGGTACGTTGATGGTGGGAGTCCGTGAAACTCTTGCAATGTTTTAAAACTAATGTGCGCCGCGCTAAGGCGAGAACCAAATTTTGAAACGACCCGCCCTCAATCCGTGAAGCTCTTGCAAATGTTTTCAACGAATGTGCGCCGCGCTAAGGCGAGAGCTGCATGTTGAAAACGGCCCGCCCTCAATCCGTGAAACCCTTGCAAATCTTTAAAATGGATGCGCGCCGCGCTGAGGCAAGAGCCACATGTTGAAAACGGCCCGCCATCCCTCTGTGAAACTGTTGCCATTTTTGAAGCTTCAGAGTCATAAGTGGTGAGGAAGTCTCAGGCGAAACGCCCGGCCCGCCCTAAAAACTGGCTTCGGGGTGCGACAGGGAGAAATTATTCATAAGGAACAGGAATGGAGGGCCCAGAGAGCCCTCCAAGAGGCCTCCGAAAAGCAAGACACTAGACCAGACAGAGGTGCACGGTGTCCTGTCTCTCCTCGAGTCTCGAGGTGACCTTCAAGCCGCTCTGTGAGAGTCGTCGGCCTGCCTTTGAGTGTTCCTCGGCTCCTGCGCGGCCTTCCAAGGGGCCTCAGGGCCCCCCTTCAGGGTCGGCGGAACAAGTCGCAAGGCCTCCCCCACAAGCTGCATGACTTGAGAAACGTTCCCGCTGATAAACATTCGAAGTCTGGGGGGGAGGGCAACACCAAAGCTGTCGACATGTGGAGCACTTGGCGATCCTGCGGCGGAGCTGGAGAGCTGGGCGACAGCCATCAGGCACATAAGACGGCCCAAGCACTCCAAGGCCACCATCTCAATTCAAATGAGCGACATAGTCAATCAAGACGTCCTCAACTTGGAGGTTGAGAACGCCGAGCTGCTAACTTGCGATTCCGCTCAACCACCATCGAAGATCTTAACTCGATGAGTCGTTCCCTTAGTTCCAAAATTGACAACGACGATGGGAAAGCAGTCCATCCATTGTACTCCCATGGTGGTGATGTGGGACCAGGGAGGGCCACGGGGAACCTAAGACCTCAGCACAGCGCAGGCCAACTCAAGCGCGGGGCCCGCACCCCCACTTCCCTTCTCCATCTTCCCTCCTCCTTCCTCCCTCCATCCTCCCTCCTCACCCTGCTCCCTCCTCCCTCCTCCCTCCTCCCCGCCTTCCTCCCTCCTCCATCATACCTCCCCATCCTCCCGCAGGCTAGCTCCCGCTCATTTGACACATGGTGCCTTTTCTGCTCCCCTCGCCTGACGCAGAATTCAAGAGGCGTTCAGCCCACGGCGTGGCTGCCTGCACCGTTGATGGCTCTGTACCTGCATCCTTCCTACCCCTCATCCTCCCTCCCTCCCTCCCTCCATCCATCCCCGCCCTCCCTCCCTCCCTCCCTCCATCCATCCCCGCCCGCCCTCCATCCCCTCCATCCCCTCCTTCCCTTCCTCCTCGGCTCCCCCGAGGACGAGGGCGCAAGACAAGGGCGAGGGCGAGGGCGGAAAGAGAGCTTGGGCGTCGCTGAACTGGGGGACGATCAAGAGGAGGAGGAGGAGGAGGAGGAGGAGGAGGAGCAGGAGGAGGAGGAGGAAGAGGAGGAGGAGGGAGGAGGAGGAGGAGGATGGAGGAGGATGGAGGAGGAGGAGGAGGAGGAGGAGGGGGGGAGAAAGGTCCACTTCTCGGGCCATCGGGGCCCCGTCTGGGGCCCCAGAAGGCCCCCTTCGGGGGCCCCAGATGGCCCCTCTTCTGCGGCCCTCGCTGCCCCCCCCCCACTTCGCGACGCCCAACTGAGGGGCGCCTGACTTCGCGCCCCGCACTGCGCGCGACGCGCGACTCATCAGGCTCCGCGGTCTCGCGCAGCCCCCGCACCCCGGGGGGGGAGAGACGAGACGATGGATAGGGGGCCACATGCGAACCCTACCCCTACCCTCCACGATTCCTGAGAGGGGGGTGGGATTCACTTCGTTCGGGGGGGGTAGGGGTAGGGGTAGGGGTCAAGCTAGCCAGCTCGAGCGAGTCAAGCATGACATGCCCATTCCCACCCGCCCTCCCACAACATAAGAAACAATGATGGCACAACTGGGGGCTGCGTGGGTATTTCAGTGCGAGTGGAGGATACCCCAGGACACCGCATTGACGTCCGCGCGGGAGGTACGCCGCGTCCCATTCCCGCCACGCATTTCGCATCGTCGACGACAAGACTGGCCATGTTGAAAGGAACAACGGACACGTTCCGCCCTCCCACAACATAAGAAACAATGCTGGCACAACTGGGTGCTGGCGCGTAGTGGTAGTAGCAGCAGCAGCAGCAGGAGTAGTAGTAGTAGTAGTAGTAGTAGTAGTAGTAGTAGTAGTAGTAGTAGTAGTAGTAGTAGTAGTAGTAGTAGTAGTAGTAATAGTAGTAGTAGTAGGTTTAGTAGTAGTAGGAGTAGTAGTAGTAGTAGTAGTAGTAGTAGTAGTGGTAGTAGTAGTAGTAGAAGAAGTAGAAGTAGAAGTAGACGTAGAAGTAAAAGTAGTAGTAGTAGTAGTGGTGGTAGTAGTAGTAGTAGTAGTAGTAGTAGTAGTAGTAGTAGTAGTAGTCGTAGTAGTAGTAGTAGTAGTAGTAGTAGTAGTAGTAGTAGTAGTAGTAGTAGTAGTAGTAGTAGTAGTAGTAGTAGTAGTAGTAGTAGTAGTTAGTAGTAGTAGTAGTAGTAGTAGTAGTAGTAGTAGTAGTAGTAGTAGTAGTAGTAGTAGTAGTAGTAGTAGTAGTAGTAGTAGTAGTAGTAGTAGTAGTAGTAGTAGTAGTAGTAGTAGTAGTAGTAACAATCAGAGTAGTAGCCCTAAGTCGCCGAAAGACCGTTCCAAGACGCCCAAGATGGCCTCCACACGGCCGTAGCGCCAAGAAACCGCGGGGAGCCTCAGGAGGCCCTCCAAGAGCCTGAACAAGCAAAAACCTCCCAGGCATTCGTCACCCCAGGGCCTCCTGGAACGCCCCGGCGTCCAATGAATTGGCGAGCTAAAAACGTGCGCCGAGCCAAAGGAGCGCAACTTTGAGAAAATTTCGCTCGGCGCCCAAGCGAGAAGGTCATGTCATTCACTTCGAGCGGGTGGGGGGGCCGCGCCCAATTCTTGCCATGCACTTTTTCGGGGTGGACGACAAGAACAGCTATGTGGGCAAGGAAAATCAGCATGGCATTGCTTCTGACAAGTAAGGTGGCCCCTCCCGCCTCGGGGTTGCCCCAGAAGTCCGCGCGCGCTGTGCGCCGCGCCCCATTTCTGCCGCGCATTTCGCATCGTCGACGACAAGACAGGCCATGATGAGAGGAAAAACGGCAACTCTGTATTGTTTTTTACAGTCAGGATGGGAGGGCCCGCGGCCCGCAAGGACGTCCGCGCGCGATGTGCGCCGCGTCCCATTCCTGCCACATATTTCGCACCGTCGGCGACAAGGCAGGCCATGCTGAGAGGAAAAAGCACTTTGTATTGATTTGTTCCATTCAGGATCGGCGGGCCCGGATTGACGGCCGCGCGCGATGTGCGCCGCGCCCCATATGTGCGCCGCGTCCCATTGCTGCCACATAGTTCGCACCGTCGGCGACAAGGCAGGCCATGCTGAGAGGAAAAAAACGAAGACTTTGTATTGATTTTTTAGAGTCAGGATGGGCGGGCCCAGATTGACTGCCGCGCGCGATGTGCGCCGCGTCCCATTCCTGCCACGCTTTTCGCATCGTCGACGACAAGAAAGACGATGCTGAGAAGAAAAACGGCCACTTTGTATTGATTTTTTACTGTCCGGATGGGAGGTCCCGGATTGGGTTGCTATCGGCCGGAATACGAGGTAGGTGGGGGTATATAATAATAAGGAACAATGATAGGGTTCGCATCGGCCTTCAGAATCGTGGGGGGCAGGGGTAGGGTTCGCATGTGGCCCCCTAATGGAGGAACCGCAGCCCAACCGCAAGCAGCACGACGCGCGCGCCACCTCGCGCCCTCGAGGGCGCCCTGGAACCTGGAAGAGCGCGCGCCCGGCCACGGGGCCGCCGGGGGCCCAGGTCTAAGTCGGGCGTGTCCCCCTACAGGGGAATGTCTTGACTATTTGTTGACCTTTTTGGTGTATTTTGGGGGGTGTTTTCATTTTTCGTCGAAAATCCCCTTGTAGGGGGACAGGCCCGACTTAAGCCCAGGCCCCCGACGCCATGACTTGTTCCTGACGCCGCCCCCAGAGGTCCGAGCCGCGGAGCACGAAGGCGCGAGCAGCTTCGCGCCCTCGAGGGCGCCCTGGAAGCAAGGGCAAGAGAAGAACAGCATGAGCACAGAAACTTGGGGCGCTCCGCGCGGATTTCTTGGATCTGCGCTGGGACCCCCTCCCCGGCGCGAAGAGCGCGCCAGGGGCGGCGCCTCCAGCGCTGCCCCGGGGGGGGGGCCATGCGCCGAGCCCAGAAATCCGAGCGGAGCGCCAAAAGTATATGTTCATGACGGTTCTTTTGTTATTATTATCATTATCATTATTATTATTATTATCCTTCTTCTTCTTCTTCTTCTTCTTCTTCTTCTTCTACTTCAAGGGCACCTTCGAGGGCGCGAAGCTACTCGCGCTTCGTGCTTCGCGGTTCGGCTCCGACCAGCGCGCTTCGTGCTTCGCGCTTCGTGCTGCGCGGTTCGTGCTTCGCTTCGGTGAAGAGCGCGCCCGGCCACCGGGCCGCCGGGGAGGGGGACCAGAGCGGTGGGAGAACTCGACGGCGTACACGACGCCCTCCGGGCCTCGGAGCCCCCCGCGGCCAATGGGCCGCCGCCGCCACCGTGGGCGGCGGCGGATCTCGTGGTCGTTGTTGTCGTCGTCGTCGTCGTCGTCGTCGTCGTCGTCGGCGGCGGCGGCGGCGGCGGCATCGACGTCGTCGTCGTCGTCGACGTTGTCGTCGTCGTCGGCGGCGTCGACGTCGTCGTCTTGTCGTCGTCGTCGGCGGTGTCGACGTCGGCGTCGTCGACGGCGTCGTCGTTGGCGGCGTCGACGTAGTCGTCGTTGTCGTCGTCGTCGTCGTCGTCGTCGTCCTCGTCGTCGTCGCCGTCGACGTTGTCGTCCTCGTCGTCGTCGTCGACGTTGTCATCGTCGTCGTCGTCGTCGTCGTCGTCGTCGCCGTCGTCGTCGTCGTCGTCGACGTTGTCGTCGTCGTCGTCGTCGTCGTCGTCGGCGGCGTCGACATCGTCGTCGTCGTCGTCGGCGGTGTCGACGCCGGCGACGTCGTCGGCGTCGTCGTCGTTGGCGGCGTCGACGTAGTCGTCGTCGTCGGCGGCGTCGACGTCGTCGTCTTGTCGTCGTCGTCGGCGGTGTCGACGTCGGCGTCGTCGACGGCGTCCTCGTTGGCGTCGTCGACGTTGTCGTCGTCGTCGTCGTCGTCGTCGTCGTCGTCGTCGTCGTCATCGTCGTCGTCGTCGTCGTCGTCGTCGTCGTGGTCGTCGTCGTTCGCGGCCGTCAAGGTCGCCGTGGTCGCCGCGGTCGCCGACGTCGCTGGCGCCTTCGTCGTCGTCGTGGCCGGCGACGTCGGCGACGTCGTCGACGTCGCCGTCGTCGTCCGTGGCGCCGTGGTCGCCGTCACCGCTCGAGGGAGACGGGGTGGGCCACCGTCGCGGCCGCCGTCGTTCGAGGAGGGTGGGGAGGGGCATCGAGGTCCGAGATTCGAGGGTCGCCCCTTCTTCGGGCCTCCGCCCTTACGCCCCGCCCCGCCTCTCCCGCGAGCGATGCCTGGCCAGGGGCCCTCCCGCCCACCGACGCAGGGCCTCCGCGGCCTCCCGGGAGCCGCGCGGCCTCCGGGGGCGCGCGCCCCCCCCCGCGGGCCGCGCGCGCGCGGGCCCCGGGCGCGCCGCGCGCAGGCCCGGGCGCGGGGCCGATCATGTCCGAGACGTGCGACACGGTGGTCCCGGAGGCGCCACCCAGGTAGAGCACCTGGCGGGGGAGGGCTGGGGGGAGGGCAGCGCGGAGGGCAGGCGGCCAGGCTCGAGGACGGCTGGGCCTGGCCTCGGGTCTGGGAGGCAGGGGGGGGCGGGGGCAACCTGGGCTTGAGGCAGTGTGGCTCCTGGGGGCGCCTGAGCTCCGTCGGCGGGCCCAGCCTCCTGGAGTCGCCACCCTGTGGGGCACGGTGGCCAGTTGGCACATGTGACCCGGGGCCCCGGGGGGCCATCTGGATCCAGGCTGCACGCGGTGGGCCAACGAATCAAGAGAACCTGGGTGCCGCAGGATCGAGGAGGAGGAGGAGGAGGAGGAGGAGGAGGAGGAGGAGCGAGCGAGCGAGCGAGCGAGCGAGCGAGCGAGCGAGAGGAGGAGGAGCGAGGAGCAGGGCGCGCTTGCTCCCCTCTTGCCGCCACAGGCCTCCGCGACGACTTCCTGGAAACTTCGGGGTCCTTCGGGGGAGGAGGACGAGCAAAGATCGAGGATCGAGGCGTTTGCATGTTTGAGTCCTTTATTTTGCCTCCTGGGGTGCTCAAGTGGCCACGGCTAGATACGCAGGGTCTTGGCCAGACCGCACCCCAGGACAGATCCAGGTCGATTTGGATGACGATGGGGGAGAGGAGGAGGGCCTAACATCGGTCCTTCCTTCGTCGCGAAAGACATCGAGGCGGCCAGCATTTCTGTGCATTGGGACTCTGGGGGACCATCTCGGGCTCAGAGGCCATCACCAATCGACCGAGG